AGGATGAACACCCCAAAAAGATGTCCTTTTCATTATAGGGGACTGGAACGCAAAAGTAGGAAGTCAAGAAATACCTGGAGGAACAGGCAAATTTGGCCTTGGAGTACAAAATGAAGCAGGACAAAGGCTAATAGAGTTTTGCCAAGAGAACACACTAGTCATAGGAAACACCCTCTTCCTACAACACAAGAGAAGACTCTACACATGGACATCACCAGATGGTCAATACTGAAATCAGATTGATTATATTCTTTGCAGCCAAAGATGAAGAAACTCTATACAGGCAGCAAAAACAAGATCAGGAGCTGACTGTGGCTCAGATCATGAACTCCTTATTGCCAAATTCAGACTGAAATTGAAGAAAGTAGGGAAAACCACTAGACCATTCAGGTATGGCCTAAATCAAATCCCTTATGATTATACAGTGGAAGTGACAAATAGATTCAAGGGATTAGATCTGACAAATAGAGTGCCTGAAGAACTATGAATGGAGGTTCATGATATTATACAGGAGACAGGGATCAAGACCATCCCCAAGAAAAAGAAATGCTAAAAGTCAAAATGGCTGTCTGAGGAGGCCTTACAAATAGCTGTGAAAAGAAGAGAAATGAAAGGCAAAGAAGAAAAGGAAAGACATACCTATTTGAATGCAGAGTTCCAAAGAACAGCAAGGAGAGATAAGAAAGCCTTCCTTAGTGATCCATGCAAAGAAATAGAGGAAAACAATAGAATGAGAAAGACTAGAGAACTCTTCAAGAAAATTAGAGATACCAAGGGAACATTTCATGCAAAGATGGGCACAATAAAGGACAGAAATGGTATGAACCTAACAGAAGCAGAAGATATTAAGAAGAGGTGGCAGGAATACACAAAACTATACAAAAAGATCTTCATGACCCAGATAATCACGATGGTGTGATTCCTCACCTAGAGCCAGACATCCTGGAATGAGAGGTCAAACGGGCCTTAGGAAGCATCACTACGAACAAAGCTCGTAGAGGTGATGAAATTCCAATTGAGCTATTTCCAATCTTAAAAGATGATGCTGTGAAAGTGCTGCACTCAAATGCCAGCAAACTTGAAACACTCAGCAGTGGCCACAGGACTGGAAAAGGTCAGTTTTCATTCCAATCCCAAAGAAAGGCAGTGCCAAAGAATGCTCAAACTACTACACAAGTGCACTCATCTCACATGCTAGCAAAGTAATGTTCAAAATTCTCCAAGCCTGGCTTAAACAGTATGTGAACTGTGAACTTCCAGATGATCAAGCTGGATTTAGAAAAGGCAGAGGAACGAGAAATCAAATTGCCAACATCCGTTGGATCATTGAAAAAGCAAGAGAGTTCCAGAAAAACATCTACTTCTGCTTTATTGACTATGCCAAAGCCTTTGACTGTGGGATCACAACAAACTGTGGAAAATTCTTCAAGAGATGGGAATACCAGTCTACCTGACCTGCCTCAATTCATGTCCATTGAGTCGATAATGCCATCCAGTCATCTCATCCTCTGTCATCTCCTTCTCCTCTAACCTTCAATCTTTCCCAGCATGAGGGTGTTTTCAAATGAGTCAGTTCTTCGCATCAGGTGGCCAAAGTATTGGAGTTTCAGCTTCAGCATCAGTCCTGCCAATGAATATTCAGGACTGATTTCCTTTAGGATGGACTGGTTGGATCTCCTTGCAGTCCAAGGGACTCTCAAGAGTCTTCTCCAACACCACAGTTCAAAAGCAATTCTTTGGTGCTAAGCTTTCTTTATAGTCCAATTCTCACATCCATACATGACGACTACTGGAAAATTACAAAAATATTTCAGGCTCCTCTGTCCTCCACTCTCTCGAGGAGTTTGCTCAAATTCATGTCCATTGAGTCAGTTAGTTTTATTTGGAATGCACTGTAGAGACGTTTGACATACGTCACTGAAAAGAATGACATGAGACCTATGTTGATTCTAGGGTCTGCATGGATAAAGTAATTTTCATTGTCCCTGACATCAGTTATATCTCAATACCAAATTTCTGAGAAATCACTCTAGGAATCACTCTCAACTGACTATTCTGACAAATTATAGTCATTTACAGGTGACACCTTCTCAGTTCAGATGTCATTTGGACCCAGAGACTGTATTGCCTGTTCCTGTTTCACAGGTTCTGGGACCTGCTCATTTTTTACACCTGTATCACACAAGCAAGAGTTTCCTTTCTATGTATTATGTTAAACGTGATCCTACATCACACACAAATTAAAGTGTTCACGAAGGGAAGGTATGACCAAGTTTTCAATTGAACTGGGAGTAACACAAAGCCTAGTTATTCCAGAGCTATTGCTCAGGTTGCAAAATTAAAAACTTTTTACCTAACTTAATCATGTATGTGAAGAGCTTGCTTACATTTGTTTGTATCAGAAGCCAAATAATCATATACTTACACAGTGTTGGCAATTATATGTTTCAGTTAGTACAGCCCTTTAAAAAATGATTTGGTAATGTGCATCAGGGATAATACATGCGTGTACCTTTTGAATTGGTATTTTAAATTTTACCCTAGATAATTTTTAAATATGGGGGATGTTGGTGGGAATGCAAATTAGTACAGCCACTATGGAAAACAGTGTGGAGATTTCTTAAAAAAATCCATGGCTAATTCATTTCAATGTATGACAAAAACCACTGCAATGTTGTAAAGTAATTAGCCTCCAACTAATAAAAATAAATGGAAAAAAAAAATATGGGGGAAAAAGTCGTGTGTAGGAATATTTCCTTCACAGTATTTTTTAGGTAGTGAAAAATTAGAGGCAGAGTATGTAACAACAGGCACTTAGTAGATGGTTATGCCTACTTAATAGAATATCATGAAATTACTAAAATAGTCATTGGAAAAACTATAATATGGAAAAAGGAAGAATAAAAGTTGAATTTATGCTATGATTTTAACTACTTGAAACACAAATATAAGAGAATATAAAAAAATAATAAAAGTTGTGTTAGGGTTATGGATTTTTTTCCTTCTATTTTAAAAATTTTTTTCTAATTATGCACAAATGTTTTACTGTTTAAAGTTAGCTTAAGCATTAGCAACATTTGCTTAAAATTTTTATTCTTAGAATCACACATCATTGGCAATCCATGCTGAAATGATACATAATTTCTGTTTACTAATGTTCAGCTGTTGGCAGACAAAGTCAATTTTTTAGCTAAGCAAACGTCAGTTGTTCCCATTGCACTTCTAAAATTACAATACAGCTATGAAATGATTGGCAGGGAAGGGTACTTTGGGGTAAACATGAAGAAAAGTCAAAGATTAAGAAAAGGAAAATGTCCACCTTTCCAGTCAGTTACAAAATCAGTGATAGGAATAGGACCCAGTTTGAGATCTTACTTCTTAGAATGCACAGTACTAGTGTGCAAGATAGCAAATAATTAGGATGAAATCTGGTAAGTACTTGCATAGGCCACTGAACAGGCTAGGGGAAGATTTGGGAACTAGAGTAGGTATTCTAGATAAAGTAGATCCAAGAGCAAAGGTTTTTTGTTGTTTTTCAAAAGTCAGGGTGTGTTCAGAAAGCAGAGTAATCCCAGTGTCCTTAAAATAGGCTACCTATAACCTGCAGGATTAAAGAATCAGCCCGCAAGGCAGTAGAGGTGGGTTCCATCCCTGAGTCGGGAAGATTGCCCTGGAGAAGGAAATGGCAACCCACTCCAGTATTCTTGCCTGGGAAATCCTATTGACTGAGGAGACTGGCGGGCTACAGTCCATGTGGTTGCAAAAGAGTCCGACATGACTTAGCAATAAATGACTAAACAGCAATAAAACCTACAGGATGGGTAGAAGCAGGTAATAAGAGATTAGTGGATGCTGAAGTTGGTCAGTCGCTAAGTCGTCTCTGACTTTTTTGCGAACCCGTGAACTGTAAAACACCAGGCTCCTCTGTCCTTCACTCTCTCCTGGGTTTGCTCAAATTCATGTCCACTGAATGGGATGGTTTTATTTGGAATGCACTGTAGAGACGTTGAAGATATGTTACTGAAAAGAATGACATGAGACCTACACTGGTTCTAGGATCTGCATAGAATTAACTGAAAGGGAGATGAGAGGAAGAATAAGTTATGAGGACTCTGCTATAAACCATGATCTTCATTACATAAAATTACCTGGATTAGCACCCCCAGAATATATTTAAAATGGTTTAACCACGTTCTAACCAAGTTTTAGATCATTTGGGGTACTAATAGAATTAGCACATAATGTTGAATCAGATTGCAAAAGATTGTTTTAACTCTGTGGCCAGATTCAAAGTATTGAAACCAATATGTTGAAAAGGCAAATTCTCAAAAGTAAAATGATTTGTAATTCTAGAAGGCAGCAGATTATCAATAGCTGCATCCACATTCTGTGGAGTGGTGGGTTGCTTTAAGACATAACAGACTCAAAGGAAGTAAAATTTTCTAAAGTATATACTGCTTTAACCTTCTAGGCAATTGGGGGTGTTGCTGAACAAAGACCTTAAAAAAGCTAGCTATATCCGTTAAGAGCAGACAAGACTTTTTTGTTTAACGCGTTTAGATTTTTAAAGTTTCTTGTCCTAGAATATATCAGAATCCATTCAGAATAGGGATTCAGGCCCAAAGCCTTCCTGACTTAATAGAGAAGCAGATGCTGTTGCCACCGTAAGAACGGCTCAAAATCACTCCCTAGATGTGGCAGTACCTAAACGTTTAATAAAAATTTACTAACCAAGTACTCTGAATTACTGGGCTAGCAGATCTTTCATCTCGGAAGCAATCATTTTAGGGCACCAAACTACCCACGTCTGGGCCGAGCCTCCGGCTTTTGTTTACAAACACAGAGGAAGGAGCGCCGCGGTCCGTTAAGTCGCAGGGCCGCCGAGCGGGCATCGCTCCTGGGAAGCGAGTCCGGTTCCCCCAGGAGGGCGGGGCGGGGAAAGGAGCCCTCCGGCCGGCACGGGCCCAGCGGCCTCTGCCTTCCAGGCATCCCGCGCTGCCCTCGCTCCCAGTCCCCGCCGTCTCATTTGCCACCTCCCAACGCGTGACCCCGGCGCGTCGCGTCCCGGGCCGGTGTCAGACGCGGGGTGCGCCAAGCGGTCCCATGTGCCCCCTCCCTCTCGCGGCCGCCGCAGTCACCGCGCCCCGAACCCCGCTCCGGCTCCTCGGCAGAGGGCTCGCCGCCGCCATGTCTACCGCCCGGCCACTCAAATCCGTGGACTACGAAGTGTTCGGGAGAGTGCAGGGTAGGGGACCGCCCTACGCGGGAGGTCAAAGAGGTGTTGGGGAGGAAGACTAGAAAGCTGCGACAAGCACAGCCCATCTTTAGGAGCCCCTGCCCCCTTGTGGCTGGGACTTCCGCCCGGCCATGACACAGCAAGAACGGGCGGGAAGGAGACCAAGGGAGCATGCGCAGGAGAGCTGGGGTGGGCGGGGGAGGAGAGCGGAGACTCCTTAGGAGAAAGGCTGGGAGAAGAGGGGAACAGCCGGGCGCTGGGAGTGGGCCACCTAAGGGGGTGCAAGGGGACCGGATCAAGAAGGCAAACTGAAGTGGGGGAGGAAAAGAGGAGGGTCCGTGAAATAGTGATCCCCGTTACTTGCCAGTGAAACTACTGTGGTTGACTTGTTTCAGAATAGACTCCTAGATGGTGTAGGAGGCTTCACTTTGTAGGATGATAATACTTTTGCTGGTGTGCTCCTAAAGGAATTACTAAGTTGTTATCTTCTTTCTGTTACGTCATAAGTTTAAATCGTTGCAAAGGATGTAATGTCTGGCTTATAGGAACTACCATTATTTCTAAATTAAAATGTTAAAAATCACTGAAATTTATCCAGTGGAATATAAATATGGTGGTGATTTAATATTTGCCATCATTGATTCAAAACAGGAAGTGTTCAGTTCAGTTCAGTCACTGAGGAGTTTTGGATTTCTTGGGACTCCGTGGCCTGCAGCTTGCCAGACTTCCCTGTCTATCACCAACTCCTGGAGCATGCTCAAACTCATGTCCATAGAGCTGGTGATGCCATCCAACCATCTCATCCTCTGTCATCCCCCTCTCCTCCTGCCTTCAGTCCTTCCCAGCGTCAGAGTCTTTTCAAATGAGTCAGTTCTTTACATCAGGTGGCCAAAGTATTTGAGTTCAGCTTCAGCATCAGTCCTTCCAATGAATATTCAGGACTGATTTCCTTTAGGATGGACTGGTTGAATCTCCTTGCGGTCCAAGGGACTCTCAACAGTCTTCTCCAACACCACAGTTCAAAAGCATCAGTTCTTCTGGGCTCAGCTTTCTTTATAGTCCAACTCTCACATCCGTACATGACTACTGGAAAACCATAGCTTTGACTAGACTAGCTTTGTTGACAAAGTAATGTCTCTGCTTTTTATTATGCTGTGTAGGTTGGTCATAGCTTTTCTTCCAATGAGCAAGTGTCTTTTAATTTCATGGCTGCAGTCACCATCTGCAGTGATTTTGCAGCCCAAGAAAATAAAATCTGTCATCGTTTCCATACATTTGCCATGAAGTAATGGGACCAGATGCCATGATCTTCATTTTCTGAATGTTGAGTTTAAAGCCAACTTTTTCACTCTACTTTTTCACTTTCTTCAAGAGGCTCTTCAGTTCTTCTTCGCTTTCTGCTATAAGGGTGGTGTCATCTGCATATCTGAGGTTATTGATATTTCTCCCGGCAGTCTTGATTCCAGTTTGTGCTTCATCCAGCCCAGCATTTTGCATGATGCACTCTGCATATAAGTTAAATAAGCAGAGTGACACTATACAGCCTTGACGTACTTCTTTCCCAATTTGGAACCAGTCTGTTGTCCCCAGTTCTAACTGTGCCCAGTTCTAACTGTTGCTTCTTGACCTGCATACAGATTTCTCAGGAGACAGGTAAGGTGGTCTGGTATTCCCATCTCTTTTAAAAGAATTTCCCACAGTTTGTTGTGATCCACACAGTCAAAGGCTTTGGCATAGTCAATAAAGCAGAACTAGGTGTTTTTCTGGAACTCTCCTGCTTTTTTGATGATCCAGCGGGTGTTGGCAATTTGATCCCTGGTTCCTCTGCCTTTTCTAAATCCAACTTGAATATCTGGAAGTTTACTGTTCACATACTGTTGAAGTCTGGCTTGGAGAATTTTGAGCATTACTTTGCTTGCATGAGTGCAATTGTGCGGTAGTTTGAACATTATTTGGCATTGCCTTTCCTTGTGATTGGAATGCAAACTGACCTTTTCCAGTCCTGTGGCCACTGCTGAATTTACCAAATTTGCTGGCATATAGAGTGCAGCACTTTCACAGCATTGTCTTTGAGGATTTGAAATATATCGACTGGAATTCCATCACCTCCACTAACTTTGTTCATAGTGATGCTTCCTTCCTAAGGTCCACTTGATTTTGCATTCCAGGATGTCTGGCTCTAGGTGAGTGGTCACACCATCGTGGTTAGATGGGTCATGAAAATCTTTTTTGTACAGTTCTGTGTATTCTTGCCACCTCTTCTTAATGTCTTCCGCTTCTGTTAGGTCCATAACATTTCTGTCCTTTATTGTGCTAATAGTTGCATGAAATATTCCCTTGGCATCTTTAATTTTCTTGAAGAAATCTCTAGTCTTTCCCCATTCAGTTGTTTCCTCTATTTCTTTGCATTGATCACTGAGGAAGGCTTTCTTATTTCTCCTTGCTATTCTTTGGAACTCTGCTTTAAGATGGGTGTATCTTTCCTGTTCTCCTTTGCCTTTAGCTTCTCTTCTTTTCTCAGCTATTTGTAGGGCCTCCTCAGACAACCATTTTTGCCTTTTGCATTTCTTTTTCTTGGGAATGGTCTTGATCCCTGCCTCCTGTACAATGTCGTGAACATCTGTCCATAGTCATTCAGTTACTTTGTCTATCAGGTCTAATCCCTTAAATCTATTTGTCACTTCCACTGCATAATCATAAGGGATTTGATTTAGGTCATACCTAAATGGTCCAGTGGTTTTCCCTATTTTCTTCAATTTAAGTCTGAATTTGGCAATAAGGAGTTCACGATCTAAGCCACAGTCAGCTCCCAGTCTTGTTTTTGCTGCCTGTATAGAGTTTCTTCATCTTTGGCTGCAAAGAATCAATCTGATTTCAGTATTGACCATCTGGTGATGTCCGTGTGTAGAGTCGTCTCTTGTGTTGTTGGAAGAAGGTGTTTGCTATGACCAGTGCATTCTCTTGGCAAAACTCTATTAGCCTCTGCCCTGCTTCATTTTATACTCCAAGGCCACATTTACCTGTTCCTCCAGCTATTTCTTGACTTCCTACTTTTGTATTCCAGTCCCCTATAATGAAAAAGACATCTTTTTGGGGGTATTAATTCTAGAAGGTCTTGTTGGCCTTCATAGAACTGTTCAACTTCAGCTTCTTCAGCATTACTGGTTGGGGCATAGACTTGGATTCCTATGATATTAAATGGTTTGACTTGGAAAGGAACAGAGATCATTTTGCCATTTTTGAGATTGCAGCCAAGTTTTCATCATACTTTTTTCTGTTTGAATTTGATTTCCATTCAATTTCCCCCACAGAATTTTACCTGAGTGTTATGGTTTAGTGGTTCTGATTGGTGACCCACTGAACTTTTCTGCAGTTTGTATGTACATATATATGTATGTATAATATATTTTCTTAATTTCCTTTGACCATAAAGCTCTATTCTTTTTTTTTTTTTTATTCTGGCTTAAGTTACTATTGTGACTCTTATCAGAATACATTTGATGAAAATAATATAAATATATTTAAAAGTATGATAAACATTATTTAGAAGGTAAATTTGTTTGGAAATTTATTTCTTCAGGAGAAAGCTGGGGGTGTTTCATGAAACCTTGATTAGAGGGTTAAATTATCTTTGTATTTTGATACTTAGAGGTTTTTGCACCTTGGGGCAATGTACCTGAATAAGCTAAAGAATGGGTGAAAGTATGTCTTTTGCAAAGAAATAGGCCCTTTTTTCAAATGTTAACTGGAAAGGGACATAGGAAAAGAAAATAAAGACAGACTACTGTTGTCTCCTCAAGACAGGTCAGTTTTAGGGAAAAAATATATATGGGATAAAGAAATTGATTATTTAAAATTATTCATGCCTTGTATCCTTCCTGCCTTACCATGTCTTTGGTATACCCAGGGACATGGTAATCTACATTGAAAACGGACACAAAGAGTCATTGAAACACATAAAATATGACATAAAATATGAAAATGGTGACAAAGGTCACTTGACAAAGTATTTTGTTTACTAGACAGATATGGGAGTAGTTGAGTGTGTGTGTGCACATGCACGTGTATGACATTTACTGAGAGTGTTCCATGTGCTGAGCATCCTACTGCATGTGGGCTCAGTCGTTTGTGTCTGACTCTTTGTGGCCCTGTGGACCACTGGCTGCCAGGCTGCTCTGTCCATTCGATTCTCCAGGCAAGAATACTAGAGTGGGTTGCCATGCCCTTCTCCAGAGGATCTTCCTGACCTAGGGATTGAACCTGAGTCTCTTATATCACCTACATGGGCAGGTGGGTGCTTTACCACTAGCACCACCTGGGAAGCCCCATACACAAACAGTCAGGTTTAAAAGTCAGCTTTAGGGCAATAATCTCTGTTGTTTACAGTGTATTAAATGGAAAAGAGTTGTTTTTCAGTCATTAAGTTGTGAGAGTACATGCATACTATTGGCTTATCAAGGCCTCGTATGTGGGACAAACCCATAGTCACATATTTGCACATATATACACTGACATTTGCTGAGGATTTAGGATGTGCCAAGCTCTGTACTCATTTAATCCTCAACCCTATGACCTCAGCCAGCTTCCTCATTTAACAAGTAGAGAAATTAAGACATAGTGAAATAAGTTTTCCAGGTTACAGTGAGTTAAGTGGTGGCAGTGGGGTTTGAACCATGGCCAGAGCCCATGCTCTTAGCCACTATATCCTATTGCTTCTCCTTTCAATGCCCTTTCCATATTTATTTTGCCTTTCTCCTAACCTACGCACTGAGCATGTACATAAACTGATGTAGGACATTTGGACCTGGACAGCTAGAGCATTCCAGATGACGCTAAGGATGTTTTTATGGTCATTTTGGCTCCAAGGACACTTGACCTGGTCAGTAAGCAGTCAGCTTATTCAAAACTGCAGTCTCTGACTCTGTTACTTGTTGGCACTGTTCCCGGTCTGTGTCTCTCTGTGTCTTACAGAACTGCTCACAGTGTTCTAGTGGCTTACCTAAGAAATA